ATTAAGAGTCTTTGGGGCCGGTTTGGATCAGTTGGTCGGAGCGTCAGCCCCTACATCAAAAGGTTGCAGGTTCAATTCCCAGTCAGTGGGCAACAGAGTTACTTTAGGCCAGTGATGGCGAACCTATGACACGCGTGTCAGAGGTGACACACGAACTCATTTTTTTGGTTGACTTTTCTTTGTTAAATGGCATTTAAATATATAAAATAAGTCTTTGTTTTACTATGGTTGCAAATATCAAAAAATTTCTATATGTGACACGGCACCAGAGTTAAGTTAGGGTTTTTCAAAATGCTGACACAGCAAGCTCAAAAGGTTCGCCATCACTGCTTTAGGCGAAAGGGAGAATATCCATGGTGGCCAGGGTCAAGGATCACCGTGAACCAGAGAGGCAATTAGAGAGGCACCACTATAGAATACTTAAAGCCAAAGAGGGCACCCAGTAGGTGTTCATTGTTCCCCTCATCAATTTTCTTTGTTCAAAAATTTCTTGGCTGTTCTCTATTTTTTCTAGCCAATCAACATTAGAATCACCGTTTCAAGCTTCTAATGATATTCTATTTGGATTTTGATTGGAATTTCATTAAACCTATGAATTAATTAAGAAAAACTGACATCTTTATAATTGTCAGTGTTACTAAGGAACATGGCAGGACTTCCCATTTATTCAAGTCTTCTTATGTTCTTCAGTAAAATTTTGTAGGTTTTTTTTTATATCGTTCTTATCTATTTCTTATTATGGTTTTTCTGCTGTATTTTATATCACTCATTTTAAACCAATTCTAATCTGACTTCTACCTATTAATCTTAATTCCTTTGTTGCTAAAAATAGAGAGAGGAAAGCAGTGGAAATTATTGGAAGGACATTGAGGAGGCTCATAGAATTAAGAGAAAAAAATTACGTTTCTGGAAAGGGAGACAGGATTAACATCAGGGATGACTAGAACCATGGGCTGGAACACCATTGAATCTTTGCTTATCTCCCATCCCTTCATATCTCTGCATTTTTACTTCATTCTGATATTTCCATTGTCCAAAAGAAAAACTTTACCATAGTCCTTATTGCTAGTGTGGGAGAATATGACCTTAAACTAAAAGCATTTTTTGGTCATTAAAACATACTTTTTGAAACAAACAAAAACACTTTTTGGGAAAGAGAGCAGGGTGGAAGGGGGTCAATGGAGAAAAATAGGGGAGACATCTGTTATACTTTCAACAATAAAAATAAGTTTTAAAAATATTAAAATTAAAAAACAAGCCCTAACCAGTTTGGCTCAATGGATAGAGCATCAGCCTGCGGACTGAAGGGTCCCAGGTTCAATTCCAGTCAAGGGCATGTACCTCGGTTGCAGGCACATCCCCAGTAGAGGGTGTGCTGGAGGCAGCTGATCGATGTTTTTCTCTCATCGATGTTTCTAACTCTCTATCCCTCTCCCTTCCTCTCTGTAAAAAATCAATAACATATATTTAAAAACAAAAACATACTTTTTTGTAAGATTCACCTAAAAAGAAATACAAGTTTCTGATTAAATTTGGTGGAACAAAGATATGCATTTCTCTCTGCCACTTTTAGAAAACAGCAGTGAAAATGGCAGTAAAGAGCACAGCAGGCATGCCTCAGTGGTTGAGTGTTGACCTATGAACCAGGAGGTCACAGTTTGATTCCCAGTCAGGGCACATGCCTGGATTTCAGGCTCAATCCTCAGTGGGGGTCATGCAGGAGGCAGCCAATGATTCTCTCTCATTATTGGTGTTTCTGTCTTTCTCTCCTCTCCCTTCCTCTCTGAAATCAATAAAAATATATTTTAAATAATGGCAGTAAAGAGATAAAAGAACAGGGGAGGTGATAATAGCAGATCAGAGATATTAATAACATTTTGAAAGCTGGAAATGATGTTTCTATCGCTCTCTCCCTCTCCCTTCCTCTCTGGAATCAATAAAAATATATTAAAAAAAAGAATTCTGGGAAAGCAGAAACAATTCAGGGAGAATGATAAAACCAAAACAATTATGGAAAAAGAAATCCTTCAGAAAGATAAAGTATTACATTCATAAACTACTAACAGTGTCTTGTAAAAATATGTACAGAATGCAAAAGTCTCTTAAAAAGTGAAAATACAGAAACAGACATTTAGAAGTCTATAAGCTCCCAGGAAGGTAGGACCAAAGAAGGCAAAGAGATGAAGAAAAAGAGAGAAAATTAGTTAAGGTGAATTTCGCGTGATATACAAATAACCATTTTAGAGAATACAATTCAGTGGTATTTAGTGCATTCATCATGTTATTCAACCACCTCTCTCTAATTTCCAAAATTTTTCATCACCCTAGAACCGTGGTCGGCAAACCGCGGCTCGCGAGCCACATGCGGCTCTTTGGCCCTTTGAGTGTGGCCACGAAGTTTCAATTGCACTGTACATGCATGCCCGCACGTGGTATTTTGTGGAAGAGCCACACACAAGGGGCCACAGTTTGCCGACCACTGCCCTAGAAGAATACAATGTAAAATATGTTTTAGATTGTGGAAGAGAAAACCACAGGCCCCAAATGGCATCACTTGTGCTAAAGCTGGTGATACTAAACCCAGATTTAATACCTGACTTAATTGCTGTTTCAACATTTGGCAGGAACAGAATATTAATCAACCAGTCTAAAATTTTCTGATTAACACCATGGGGTAATCTGTCAAGTGGGCCCTCTTCATCTCCCCTAGAAAGAAGAGACAAGTGCATATTAAAACCCTTCCAATTCTCTCCCCCTCAAAAAAAAAAAAAATGTCCCAGGCCAAAAAGAATCCTTTCTGTGCTAGTAGTTTTATTGCCCCACTCTTCTTTTGTACAAAAACCTTCCATTTGTACAACCCCTCTGAGCGCGCCTCTAGCATCTAGATGGGGTGCTGTCCCCTTCATGAGACACTTAATAAAGCCAATTAGGGTAGGAGAACCAAGATGGCGGCATAGGTTAACGCCGGAGATCGCTGCCTCAAACAACCACTTCAGAGATATAACTAAAGGACAGAACGGACATCACCCAGAACCACGGGAAGGCTGGCTGAGTGGAAATTCTACAACTAAGAGGAAAGAGAATATCATACCCAGACTCAGAGGAGGCGCAGTGCTGAAGTGAAATACTCAGGTGCGGAGTGCGCGCGGAGCGGGCTGGCGGCGGAGGGCGCGGTTGTTGTTTTCAATCGGGAGGGAGTTTCAGACTCTGAGCTCCAGATCCGGGCGAGTCTCTGGGGACCGAGACTCAAACGGGAGAAACGGGACTGTCTGGCTTCGGTCGGAACTCGAAGGCAGCTTTCTCTCCGAGGTTTGCAGCCATTGCTGGGGCTCTGAGAGGCAGAGCCCCTGGGGAAGGAACTGAGAGTCGCCATAACTGCTTGTTCCGCCCGCCCTGTAGATCCCCGGGGACCCGCCCCGCCCAAGCCCTGCACAGAACCATTTGCCGGATAGCCTCAGGCAAACGCTAGATTAGCACCGCCCTAGAGATCCAGCACAGAAGCCCTCCCTCTACAGACACAGCAGACTCTCATAGCCAGTTAGCCTGGAGGTCAAATCACCCCGGTATTGCCGACATCAATCAAGGCTTAAAGGCAACAAGACTGCGGACAAAGACCACTAGGGGGTGCACCAAGAAAGCATAAAAAATGCGGAGACAAAGAAACAGGACAAAACTGTCAATGGAGGATATTGAGTTCAGAACCACACTTTTAAGGTCTCTTAAGAACTGTCTAGAAGCTGCCGATAAACTTAGTAAGGCCCTCGAAAAGACTGGTGAGACCGCCGATAAATGTAGTGAGATCCTCAAGAAATCTAATGAGACCCTCGATGTTGTGATAAAGAACCAACTAGAAATTAAGCATACACTGACTGAAATAAAGAATATTATACAGACACCCAACAGCAGACCAGAGGAGCGCAAGAATCAAGTCAAAGATTCGAAATGCGAAGAAGCAAAAAACACCCAACTGGAAAAGCAAAATGAAAAAAGAATCCGAAAATATGAAGATAGTGTAAGGAGCCTCTGGGACAGCTTCAAGCGCACCAACATCAGAATTATAGGGGTGCCAGAGGATGAGAGAGAGCAAGATATTGAAAACCTATTTAAAGAAATAATGACAGAAAACTTCCCCCACCTGGTGAAAGAAATAGACTTACAGGTCCAGGAAGCGCAGAGAACCCCAAACAAAAGGAATCCAAAGAGGACCACACCAAGGCACATCATAATTAAAATGCCAAGAGCAAAAGACAAAGAGAGAATCTTAAAAGCAGCAAGAGAAAGAAACCCAGTTACCTACAAGGGAATACCCATACGACTGTCAGCTGATTTCTCAACAGAAACTTTGCAGGCCAGAAGGGAATGGCAAGAAATATTCAAAGTGATGAATACCAAGAACCTACAACCAAGATTACTTTATCCAGCAAAGCTATCATTCAGAACGGAAGGTCAGATAAAGAGCTTCACAGATAAGGAAAAGCTAAAGGAGTTCATCACCACCAAACCAGGATTATATGAAATGCTGAAAGGTATCCTTTAAGAAGAGGAAGAAGAAAAAAAAAGGTAAAGATACAAATTATGAACAACAAATATGCATCTATCAACAAGTGAATCTAAGAATCAAGTGAATAAATAATCTGGTGATCATAATAGAATCAGGGACATAGAAAGGGAATGGACTGACTATTCTTGGGGGGGAAAGGGGTGTGGGAGATGCGGGAAGAGACTGGACAAAAATCGTGCACCTATGGAAGAGGACAGTGGGTGGGGAGTGAGGGCGGAGGGTGGGGCGGGAGCTGGGAGGAGGGGAGTTATGGGGGGAAAAAAAAGAGGACCAAATGTAATAATCTGAACAATAAAGATTTAATTAAAAAAATAAAAAATAAAATAAAAAATAAAAAAATAAAATAAAAAGCAAAAAAAAAAAAAAGCCAATTAGATCTTCACATTTACTTGATTTAATTTTGTTTGTTGTTTGTTTTTTATTGATCTTTTTTTTTTTACATGTATGGAGCCATCGCACAGGAAATCTGATAACTATACAGACCCTGTCAGCAGGAACCATATGTTTTGATGTGTGTGATTTTATTGATTTTTTAAAAGAAAGGGATGGAGAGGGGAGAGAGAAACTTTGATGTGAGAGAGAAACACCAATTGGCTGCCTCCTGCAAGCACTCCGACTACACCCCAACTGGGGATCAAACTGGTGATTTTTTGGTGCATGGGACGATGTTCCAACCAACTGAACCACACTGGCCAGGGCTGAATTTCATTTTTTAACAAAATAAAAGAAACAAATTAGAAGGGTTAACATCTGACTAATAGAAAAGAAAAAAATAACAAGCAGAGAAAATAGTGGGAAAGAATTATTAAAGAAATAATTTAAGAGCAATTTCCAGAGCTAGTTGGTTAGAATTTTCTTATTTAAAAAACATGCTGTGCCCTTTTCATACTCAGCCCAACAAAGTATGAGACGAGACAAACACTAAGATATATCAAGATAAAATATTAGAATATCAGGGATAAAGAGAAGATCTAAAATTTCCAAAGACAAACCAACAACTTACCTGAAAATAATTGAGTATCACAATAACTTCAGAATTCTCTATAGCACCACTGGAGGAGAATGGAACAACACATTTAAAACTGCAGGTACATTTATTTTCATTTAGAACGCTACACCTAGCTAAACTATCAATCAACATGAAAAAATAATGTGTCATTTTCAGAATACAAGATTTCAAAAACTGTATGTCCCTTCCTTTCTTAGGAAGCTAGTGAAAAATGTAAACTAAAAAAGAAGTGTGTGTGTGGGGGGGTTGGGGGGGGGACGGTAAGAGAAAGAGATCCATCAATGGAAAGAGGTGAAGGGAATATCGATGATGATGATGATGATGACAAGGACTACAAAGAAAGGAGTCCTTAGGATAATACAGGAAGAAAAAGAGATTCATGAGTGATTTTGCCCATAAAAAATAAAACATATAGATTATCTGATGTGTTTTGACATATTGAACAAAGCTTTACGGTTTTCTTTGAGAGTTTGAAGGTAAATTAGTAATAGATACATAGAAGACAAAGCAATGAAAACAAATGAGGTAATCAGTAATACTAGAAAAAAATAAACAAAAATTGTACAATAATGAAAATATTCTTGCACACAAGGTAACTCAACTGTGAGTAATATTAACATAATTATAATAATGTAAACACTGAATATTGATTTAACCCCAAATTGTGATAGGACTACATTGATAGATGGAGAGAATAAGAAAGAGAGAAAGAGTTTGCTAGGTACTTATGACTTAGAATAAAATTTCCAATGAGAGCTCATATATAGATTTAATAAATAAGTACTTAACCTTAAGCAACTTAGAGATGTGCTGGAAAATTATAATGATTTAAAATGTGGCTGTATTATTGACAAAATACTGATGATGTAGATGCCAGTGATGAGTTTGAATTAAATTGTTTAATAAATATATAGGAAAACATTCTAAAATGATATTAAATAACATGATACTATAAACATGTGTGTAAAACAAATTATTAAATTATTTTTTAGTATTTCTTTAATGTTCCTAAAATATTACATATTCTAGGTGGCCAAAAAAAAAAAAAAAAAAGCACAACAATACACCCACTAATTTTGCATATTTTTATTAGGAAATAAAGGATTGTTTTAAATTTGAAGTCCCTTAGGCCATATACTTTAGGAAAAGCTAAAAAGTCATTCACCTATTCATCTGAAATTGAAATGGTCTTATATAATTCTCATTGTCAGGCTCTTAAAGTGAAAGTCTACAGAGTTGTTAACCCAGAAGCAATAAACTGAGTGTGCTATATAATTTTATAATTGCAGATTTCAATTATAAAAGGAAAACTAACAAGCAAACGGCTCATGTTTTAACCCCACCCCAAATTAATCCCACTCTTGGCCACATCCCTGACAATGAGTCTTTCATTTTAATTCTATGATGTTAGCCTGGAGTCCAGGAACATCCTTGAAAGGACAAAAAGGAATTACCAAGGAAACCACTACAGACATTCTGAGTATCTTTTAGGTGCTTTACAGCTGAAGACCTTTCGCACATGGTCACTGCTGTATAGGAGGTAATGCCCCAGGCTCAGGCTGTGGCAAGTTTATGTGTGAAAAACCTTGGACTTCCAAAAAATAAAGAAATTAAAAAAAAGTCCAAAACAACAAAATCAGTCAAAAAGCAAACTCCCTATCTCCCTAATAGAGAAGGGATTCTTTCTTCATTGTATTTATCAAGGAGATCATTCTGATTAGATAATACCAGTGGAGACGAATTATTCATTTTCTTAGTTGTTTGTAGACGCCACTACCAAAGGTTGAAGTGTTCAGACAGCGAAGAGGGAGTGCAGCCTTGTTTTTCTGTTGCTCTTTCTGGGAGAGCTAAGTTTCTCGAATAACGTCTGAGTGAAATGTGATTTAATTGCATAGTTTCTTGTAAATAAATGCATTTCCTGGTTAATAGGGTAGAGAAAAGTCCATTTTTATTTCTATCTCTTTAGTAATTTTTTTAGAATTAGGTGTTAAATCGTAATGACAAAGTTCTCTTCGTTTTACTGAGAGTTCATTACTCAATACTTATAACACTTAGTCATAAGGGGGGGAAATGACCCCAGAATTATTTGATCGTTACTGACTCCATTTTAACAACTAGATACAAAAAGAGAAGCAAGATGAAGAGCACCCTCTTAACCTACTCAGATGGAAGCATGAATCAAGAGGAACATTTTATAAGTGTTTATTGATATAAGCAAAGTTTATTGATATAAGCAAAGTTTATTGATATAAGCATTATCTGCCAGTATTATTATGTTGTGCAAGAAAATATTCCTGGTGATAAGCAGCAATTACTACCAGCTAAGTATTATTTTCATATTTCTATTTCTATCTTCTGATATAAAGCAACATCTGTTTTTTAAAAAAGTACAGGGGGAAGAAAAGAGAGAAATTAGAATAAGCTCTAAAGGTTGTAAAAATCCTAACTGGTGTGATTACAGGGCATGATGGCCACTGAATGGATCCATTAGTCATAATTGAAGCTGTCAGGAGCCAGTGAAATGGCTGTCTCTCAGGAGGTCACCTTTCACATATGAGCTGCCCTATGTCAAGTGTTAGCTGTGTCAGGAGGTTGAATCCTGCCTCATCTGGACAAACCTTAAAAACATTAATTTTTTTTTTTTTTTACTTAATAGAAATGAAGTAGCAAAGTTCAAAAGTAATTTAGTGTCTGGACTATAAAGCCTACAGCCCAAGTAGTGGTATTAACTATAGGTGAACTTTATTGTCTGTCTGTCCAACCTGCTCGGTAGTCTCCCTGAGCCTCTCTAAGCCCCTCATTAGCTCCCCCCCCCCACTGGACTCTGGGCTGACCTCTATGGATTGCACCAAAAGGGATTCCTTGCCCTCTGACTTCCATTTGGATCAGCCAATGGGAAGTTTTGGAGACTGGAGGATGGAAAAAAGGAAATTTTTATTTACTTGCTCTTGGATATGTAATTCCCTGGAGTCACTGTGACCCAGGAGACTGACCTCTATGAACTGCACCATTGGCTTCAGAAGATCAAAAGGTGAGAGGACAATGAGGAAGGTCAAGGTATTAATTACTGGGCACGGTGGAACTGCATAGGAACTTCATTTCTTTAATATGACCTTTTCTGCTTTCTTTCCTTTTGATTCAAACTGGCCATATCCAGCACCCTGACACACCTGCCTCCTTCCCCCTCAAAGGACCACTCCCTTAATCATTAAGCCCTCCAGGCAATGAAGTTCTGATCAGCATCAAATAATCTTAGGAACAAAGCCTTGGGTCTGCTGACCACAGAGACAGAGTTTTGGTCAAATTAGAGATAACATCTAGGCATCAGCTGTGTTTCAGCACCAGAGCCAGAAAATTAGCAAAACCAGATGAAGCAACACCATGGCTGACATCAGGACCAAATGCAATGATCAATTATCCCCTATCCTAGCACTGACCAATCAAGTAGAGGCCATGACTATGACCACGACCCTAACGCCCTTAGTCGCAATGATTAATAATCTTTCCCTTATATAACCCATCATCTGGAAGCATTCTGGAAGCCAGGCCTTTGGGCATTAGCTCACCTGTCTCTAGGAGTGGGCCACTTCCTAAAAATAAACCCTTACTCCTGTTCATGTCTTGTTGGGTTTTGATGTGCGTAGGCAAATGGACCCCTTTAGTCCTGTAGCAACGGGACCAAAGTGTCCAATACCTGTCAGGTAGACCCTATCTGTGTACACAGCCTTCTCTGTGTTTGGTAACTGCTTCCCTTTGCCCCGTTAGGCTCAGGTGTGACTTTGGGGGCCACGGTGTTACTGAGTCTTTCATGTGATCTCTTTACTTCCTGCCACATCTTTGTTTATAGTCCCTTACGGAACTCTCCTCCAATTTTCCTAACCTGATCCTACCATCAGTTTCCTGCTGGGACCCAGGCTGATAGACTAGGTCTTATTCAGAAGGTAATATCTAAGCAATGACTTGAATAATCCACTAAAATGAGTCATGAAGATAAGTGGGGGAAGTGTCAAGATCCTGTAGCAGTGAGAAGGCTGGGGAGGAGTGTAGAAGGCAAGACCAAAGATTTAACAAGCTGTCTGCATGTGCTGGGGATGGAGGTGTGGGGTGCATGGGAGTCAAATCAGGTATGGCCTTGTTGGCCTTTGTAAGGGTTTTGGCTTCTCCTCTGAAAGCAATGGGAAGCCATCAGAATCATATACTCACTCACATCTAATTAAATCTAATACGACTGCTTTCTGTTATGTGTCAACAGTGGAGCTCCCTGGCTGTTGTGAATTTCTCCTCCTCGCCTCCTGCCTGCTGATGAATGCGTGGGCGTGTTGAGCTGGCCCAGCATGCTTGGGCTTGAGCTCAAGGCTTTGAGTCTCTCCTGATGCTGTGGGGGACATGACCTTCCCTTACAGTACAGGATTCAGAGACTACAGTGTCTTTTTCTGTTAGCATATTCTTTTCAGTTCAGTTAATGATTTGGGAGTGGGCACGTTTTTCTTACTCTTTCTTTTTTTGTTGTTGGTAAAGTCAATAGGCCCTTCTATACTGACTTCAAAAAAGCGTGCTTAGCTAAAGGGTCTGGTACAA